TTAAAAAAACCCCTCCTGCTCTGCATAATTAAAATGGCTGCAGCAATGGAGTAAGGGGCAGGGCTCAGTGAGGCACCAGCAAACTGGCAATCAGCTATAGCTTCAAGGGGAAGTAGGTGGAATTATGAGTAGTGCTCACAGTCGAAATTCTGAATGCCAGGCTTGTTTATCTGCACACTGTTTGGTAAGGACCCCCTTTTTAATGCCACTGCCCATGTACAGAGTATGCATGTAGGAGGGGTGTGTGTTCAGGAAGAGGTCAGTCCTAAGTGCAATTACTAGGATGATGCTGCACTGAAATTATGGGGCTTACTGCTAAGGCTAGTCCAGACAGTGTGCTGTTGTGCCACCTTGCAAGGCGGACGAGCAGTTGTCCACCAGAAAAAGCGTAAGAGGTGGATGTTACATAGTCAGGTCTACAAGTGTGAAGTCCTGATGCACACAATCCTCTTCCTCACTGTAATGCCTCCTATTTTTTTTCTTTTTTTGAGCAAGATGAGTTAGGCTGTCAGGTATACTGGACCCACCCATGTCAGATAATGTGTTATATGTATGGTAAAGGGAGTGGTATGTATTTATTTCATAAGATGAGTTGGGATATTAGCTCAGTTGGTGATTGTACTTGATTTAAATAAACAAATGTAGGCTTTGCTTGGTAATGTCACATTGGTCTAAATCTCAGTCCTCAATATCAAGACTTCCAGCTCCCATTTATATTCTTCTGCTTGCTGAAGAAGATTATTATTATTATTATTATTATTATTATTATTATTATTATTATAACATTTCTATGCCGCCCCTTGCCGAAACCTCGGGGCGGCTTACAAGATGGTGCAGACAATGGTACAATTCTGTGTTAGCTTTTCCCTCTTGCCTAATCCTCTCCCGGTGGACTGCAGGTGGCACAGTGGTTTAAACCGCTGTGCTACTGGGCTGGTTGATCGAAAGGTTGCCTGTTCAAATCTGCATAATGGGGTGAGTTCCCGTTGCTCCATCCCAGCTCCTGCCAACCTTGCAGTTCGAAAGCATGCAAATGCAAGTACATAAAAAGGTACCACTTCAGTGGGCAGGTAACAGCATTCTGTGCACTTCGGTGTTTAGTCATGCTGGCCACATGACCACGGAGACTGTTTGCGGACAAACGCTGGCTCCCTTGGCTAGGAAAGGGAGATGAGCACCGCCCCCTAGGGTCAGGCACGACTGGACTTAATGTCAAGGGGAAACCTTTACCTTTACCTTTTAATCCTCTCCCATACACTCACCCTTATCATGAAAAAGAAAATCCTCCTACAAGCATCAGGACTTAACACTGTCTACAACATTTAATTCTTCAAATAAGTTATTGTATTTATAGACAGAAGATATTTCTAGGTATAGCAAATACAATCATTCCCAGTAATAGAATTGTCTTATCATACAGTAATTCATATTTGAATAAGCCATTCTTCCTGAGCTGTCTCTCTCTGTCTTTCACTTTTCTGGGTGTGCAGTTATGCTTTTTGAGTGAACGTATATGTATTGCATTTCATATCAAGCTTTTTCTGCTTGCCTTTGCTGAACTACATTTTCTGCCAGAATTGGTCTGCCTTGTACTTTCACTCCATGCTTCCTCCTCTCCCCTCCTCCATTAATCAGAGTTAGTCAAAGATGTGCATGCAACCTGGCTGCCCTCTATCTGCCACTCATGTATCAAGGGCTTGTCCATCCATACAACAAATCCGCTTGCTGACTCACACTGGTGCTGGTCATGGATGGTCCTGAGCATCCAGCTCCTCTATGCCTCTGCCTTGCAATAGATCAGTTTGCAGCCCTGTGCAGGCCACCAGCAATTCCAACAAATGCAACTAAGATTCTGTCCACTATTTGGGAATGACTTGTAAAGTCTGATAAGGCACTATATGGAAAGGAGCAGTTTTCAGGGCTGAACTATATTCTACATTAAATGCATAGCATGCACAATTATTATTTTTACCTTAGTTTAAGGGTGTCCTGCCCTGATTGGGACCACTGAGTTACCTTCCTGCTCAGTTACATTCCTCCCTAAATTTTCCCTCCAGCACCATAGGGACTAAAAAATAAACAAACTTCCATGGCACCAACACAACAAATTGCTAAGCATCAGGTGCATGCTACTTATTTAATGTCAGGTTTAGGATGTGGGGATCTGGGAGGAGGATGCAAAGTTCTAGAGATGGAAAGGATCTCAAGGCAGATGGGACCTTTCCTTCCGGGCAGCTGAATACTTCCTTGTGGACTGCATGCACCTGTCCCCATGCAAGCATTTCCAAGTGTTGAGCTATGGAATTTATTCATTTTTATTTAGCATTAAACTTATGTCCTACTGAATAACTGAAGTCTTCAGAGCAGCTCATAATTCATATACAATTCAGCAATAACAGATAATTGGTGCTGGACTGGGGGACTCTAGAATGGTTGACAGATGCTGGTGCAATCTACCATTCTTTCAGTGCGAAATAACCCTCCCCCACAAAAAAAAAGTGTCTGGTCCAGGTCTCAGAAAAGAACATTGTGTTGCCCCTGCCATGGCCAAAGGTATGGGGGACCCCAAGGAATTGATATGCAAGGTCCGGGTTTGCTTATTAGCCTAAGTTAGCCTTACGTCCATTGTAGGAAAAACAATGGAAAGGCTCCTAATAGTGAGAGATCTAGTGATGCTAGATAGGGAAGGGAGGCTGGCAGCCACACAACACGGCTTCCACAAAAACAGGTCCTGCCATACAAACCTGTGGAATTCTATGACAAGGTTTTGCGATGGCTAGATGGAGGGGATGCAGTGGGTGTGGTTTACCTGGATTTCAGCAAGGCCTTTGACAAAGTACCCCATGATATCCTGGTTGAGAAACTGGGGAGTTTTGGGATAGACCAAAGCACTGTCCAATGGATTAGGGCATGACTGGCTGACCGAAAGCAGAGGGTAACCATTAGTGGGGAATCATCGGGATGGCGGCCAGTGACAAGCAGGGTCCGCCAGGACTCTGTCCTGGGGCTTATCCTGTTTAATCTTTTCATTAATGACATGGAAGAAGGGGTGAACAGTCTGCTGATCAAATTTGCAGACAATACTAAAACTGGAGCAGTGGCCACAACTGAGGAGCAGGCACTCCAGATCCAAAAGGATCCGGACAGACTATGGAAATGGGCAGGAGAAAACAGGATATTGTTCAATGTAGATAAGTGCAAGGTCTTGCACTTGGGGCATAGGAATGGGTGTCATAAGTACAGGTTAAGGGACAAGTGGCTAGAAAGCAGCACTTGTGAAAGGGACCTCGGGGTGCTGGTTGACTGCAGGCTAAACATGAGTCAGCAGTGTGATGCGGTGGTCAAGAAGGCAAACACCACCCTTGGTTGCAAAGTCAGAAGTGTGGCTTCTAGATCAAGAGAGGTATTACTACCACTCTATATGACTCTGGTGCGCCTGCAACCAGAGTATTGTGTTCAGTTTTGGGCCCCTCATTACAGGAAGGATATAGCCAGGTTAGAGTCAGTGCAGCGTAGCGCCACAAGGTTGGTGGCCGGTTTGCAGGGGATGCTGTATGAAGTGAGACTGAGGGAATTGGGTCTCTTCAGCCTGGAGAAGAGAAGACTCAGAGGGGATCTGTTGGCGACATACAGGTGTGTGAGGGGATGCCACAAGGAGGTGGGTAAAGAATTGCTCTCCCATGCAGAAGAAGGCAGGATGCGCTCCAATGGTGCAAAGCTCAAGGAAGCAAGGTTCCATTTAGATGCCTGGAAGCACTTCCTGACAGTTAGGATCCCAAGGACATGGAATGGGCCTCCATGGGAAGTGGTTGAAGCCCCATTGGTGAGGATGTTCAAGGATAGGCTGAACATGCACATGGTGAGCATGTCATGAGCGGAGCTGGCTGGAGCCGGGGGTCAGACTAGATGGCCCAGGAGGCCCCTTCTAACTCACTCTGTTTCTATGTTTCTATGCTTATGGACACAACAAACAGATTACTAGCTAGCTTTTCAAAGGGTTTAGCAGGCTCCAATCTGCTGGAACAGAACATCAGCAAAGCCCCCTCCAGAATGGTGGTGTCTGAACTAGACATAAAGGAAACTGGCTAGCTTATATCAACTACTTGTGCGAAAGGGGCTGGCTGTTACACAGGTGCAGTGACTTAGCAGTGTGAAACGACTTGTTTACTTGTTAGCAAGCTGAAATGTATCCCATGGGCAGCTTCCCGTCATTGAACTCCATAGAACATGAAGTTTCCTATCTCCGTTAGCATGTCTCAAGTCCTAACACTGGAGGTTTCCCATACTGGGCAGTTCAAATATTCCCACCCCGTGTGCCACAATGATAGGAATTAGTGTCAAGAAAGCATAAGCTCATTAGCAGGCCCAATAAGGTATATCTTTCTCAAAGCAGGACAGCAGTGTGCCCGTTCTTTGGCCATCTCTTCCTCAGGGCCTTTGGACAACAATACCTAGTACGCTGATCAAGGTACTATAGGGCAGCATGCTAAGCAGGCCTGTTCTTTCAGAGGGAGAGACCCAGGCCTGCAGCACAGGTCCAATACAAACATGCAAACAAATGCATTTGCAGTGTACTTTGAAGAGTCATCTCAGTTGTTACCAGAACTGGGAGCTGACCTCCATCAGTGGGATGGTTTAAATTGGTGACCTGCAACAGCAGGAGGTTGGACCCAATGGCCTTCTTGACCCCTTCCAACTGTACTGTTCTATGATTCTATATATAAATGATGTGTTGTAGTCTACTCACATGAGCAAGTAGAGTATGCAGTTCCCACAGCGATGATTCACAGCAGATTTGAATAGCCACTTCCCTAATTCCAAAAGAGGCAAGATACAGATTTTCATCTTATTTAAGTGCCTATAACAGTCTTCCCTGATTTTCCACTTCAGACATTATTACTGATTTAAGAAAGAAAGAAAGAAAGAAAGAAAGAAAGAAAGAAAGAAAGAAAGAAAGGAAATAAGAGATTTACAGTGTAATTCTATGATTTCTTTTTTAGGCCGTAGGTCCTGTAAGTTTTCAGTTGAGCTTACTCAAGTGTTAGTGCATATAGGACTGCAGCCTGAATGTCTACATTAGTGCTAAGTGATCAGGCTGCTGAAAAGTCAAAGCTAGGCTGGAAAAGTACTTGAGATGATCCTGAAATGCAAAGTTATTCCTCCTAACTTTGGGATTTTTTCATTCGTTTTTCAGGCTAATCACACATTTAATTTTGTGGAGAAACTAAAGTTATATTCTGAGGCTTGGCTTCAGATGACAGAATTTGTTCAGAGTAGTAAAAGCTTCCTTATGGTCAGCCAGCTACAGGTTAGTGAAGTTCTGGAAATTACATAATGTAGGAGTGAAATGAAAGATCTTTGTGCATGGCACTGTAGGAAGAACAGGTATGGGAGCTGTTAAACCCAAGATGCTTACAATCTAAAAGAGACATGGGGAAAACAGCAATGAAGAAGATGGAGGTATGGATAAGCAGAGGAAGAATGTCAGATGCTTGTTACCTCAGATAATTATGAAAAATATCATTGCTCATTTAAGACATACATACAGTACTTCTGAAATGTTCTCTTGGGAGTTTCAGAAACCCAACTATGTAGATGGCCTTCTGAAGGCAAAAAAAATTAATCCATTCACTCTTTATTACTTGCCACCTTTGCCTCCATGACTCCTATCATACCATAGAAATCAAGGCATGGATTTATATATACCACTGTAGATCGCATTCTCCTAAATAAAAACCTAGCTGCCTAATTTTCCTAATTAGCTTGTTTTGCAATCCCTGGGCAAGATACATTCCCAATGATATATAATTATATCTCTGCATGTTCCAGCTCCAGTCTGCTTTGCTATGCTCAGTCCAGCTACATTAAACTATAGCACAGCCATAACTCTGTGGCAGAGTAGAGTCTGTTGCACCTTTTGTGAGGCTTTCTCATTCTGTGGTCTCCCTAGGTTTGAACATCAGAACTCCAAGGACCATGCTGCATTGATTTCACAGCGATGGTTGGCTGTTGATTTGGAGTACAGCTCATTGGGGAGTGCTTGGGATCAGAGAAAAAGGCCATTTAGTTTCTTTCTTTGCCATGTTCTAATAATGAAAAGCAATGCACAACAATAAGAGTGAGAGATGGGAATGCCTGACGTATGTTAGACTGGGTTATTTGGAGAGGAGTTGAGCAATTTTCAACCTCCTTTTCTTTCCTTTGAATCATTTGTTTTAGGATGCAATTCAAAATGCTTTTATAAAGAACTTGGTAGAGAACCAGTTGCATGTGGATGTGGAAGAGCTAGTCAAGAAACTGAGAGTATATGGTGAGTGTATGTGAACATACGTACACACGGTTAAGCTTTGAATTGGTTGGCTGTGGTGCTGGAATAAGGGCAAGAGTGGAATGCTCAGCCGCCTCCCCTGTGCAGAATTTTATGAATAGCATCTACTACAGGTTGTATAATTTCAGGCCTGGGGGAATTCACCTCCTGGGAGACCAGCCCTGTCCTCCATGTTTTCCCAGAGCGCCACGCCCTTTCTCCTTGCCCTACTCCATTTCTCCCAACACCAGTAGTTTGGTGGTTTCCTGGCTTTTTGTGCAGGCCCCCCTCATTTGAAAAAGCTGAAACACCTTTCAGTAGGCTCAGTTACTGTCAATAACTGCTCTAAGCTAAAGCAGGCTGGTATTTTTGGCTCATCTTCTCACTGAAACACAGACCCCAAAAGCAGCTTCACAAAGGAATGTGGCCATCAGGTTGGAAAAGGTTCAGCTCCGTGATTGAAATGGATTGAAATATTAGGCATGAGACACTGTCAAATGGTGTTGAATATCAGATATGTGCCTATTCAGAGAGTACTCGTTGAGATAATATTTGTAATCCAAATTTGGGGTGACATTTTTGTAGATGAAATGATTTTCTGCTGTTCCCAGTTACATGTTACAGTTGCAATTCCCATTAACCTTTGAGCTCCAGGGTCGCTTTACATAAATGATGCCCAGCTCCCCTTGCCCCTCCCCTGAAATTGTGTTCTGGGGTATATGACAATGTGAAGGAACTTTAGCATGAATTGTCCCTCTACAGAGGAACAGCTGTAGCCATGACATGATGCTATTATTTTCATGTAAATTATTTGTTAATAGAAATAAGACACAACACAATAGTAGGGACACAGTTTGTCCATCTGCCCTTTTGCTTACAGTGGGTTTGATCATTGTGCTTAGCCTATAGTAAATCCCTTGAAATTAGTGGGACTAATTTGAATATTACTAAGCAGTAAGCTCTCAATGGGTCCTACTCATTGAAATGAGTGAGTCTTAAGTTACTCACAATTTAAGCTTCAGTGATTTCAGTGTGGGATTTTACACAGTGATTTTGGTAGGTCTACAATTTGTATTCAGTGCTAGTTCTACCTAGAGTAGACCCATTGAAATGAATGGTACTTTCTTAAGGCATGATTAATTAAGGCCCCATCCAAGTCTACTTAAGAAGGACTAACCTTGGATAGAACCATATTTATTTGTTTAGTCTGTATACTGCTCAACCAGGAAAGGTTCCTGGGGCAGTTTGCATCATGACAGCAGGACAAAAACCCCAGCATATTCTAAGCACGACTAAGTATGGATCCAATCCATGAGGCTGTTACGTTTCATCAATTCATCTCCAACTTTTGGGAACCCTATGAATGAAAGCTCTCCTAAATGACCTATCTATGACACCCCTACTTAGTTGTTCTAATTTCAAGGCTGTGGTTTCCTTTATGGAGCCAGTCCATCTTTTATTTGGCTTCCCTTTCTTCTGCTCTTGGCTTTCCCTAGCATGATGGTCTTCTCTAGTGAGTTCGGCTTTCTCCATGGACATAGAGGGTTGGGTGTTCCTTTAGTGAGCGTTGACAACTGCTGGCTACTGACAAGGTGCTTCCTTTGCTTCAATGAAAGTTGAAAAGGAAATCTGGGAAGTCCAAAGTAGCCATTGGGACAAACTGATGCTTGAGTTTTGCTACCGACTGGTTGGAGGGCCTCCAAGTGTATGCACTGGCCCCTGGGAGAGCTACTGCTGCTTCATGGACTGGCTTGCCTATTCCAGATGCTATAGAATTGTCATGTTTCCAGTGTTTTTTCCTCAGGAGGAAATTGGCCCAGGAATCTGTTGGAACCTTGAACTGCTGAGGCAAGGAGAAAATCTCCAAACACTCTCAATAATAATTCCATGCCATTTATTCTTCTCAGAGACCATGATAGAGAAAATGCTTAACAACTCAGCAACTGAGCACATTAACCAAATGGCATGGCTCATGATTAACATGTCCTCCTGTCTTTTATTGGATTGTTTCCAGCCTGTTGACTCTGTGGAGGAATTGGAGGCAAAGGCAACAAAATAACTTCTTGGCTAGTAAGTACCATGATAAACATCCAAGAGAACATGTCTTACTCAGCACCTTTTCTCTTGAGCAGTATTCAGTGCTGCATTGTTGCTCGCAGAAACGATAGGGCACGAGCAGTCGCTAGTACAAGGGGGAACTTGCTCACACTGGCCCTTCTAGAACAGGGTGGTCAGCCAAGTTCACAAAAGGGCACACTGCAGACTTGTCCCATTCCAGGAGTGCTAAATTGGGACCATTTCCCCTTGTGCAAGCAAGCACTCGCTTCATATTAGGCATGGTCAAATATTTCTGACTGTAAAAAATATCATTGAACTTGATGAACAAGAACATTATTATTATAATGGAATAACCATTATTCAAGGTCTTACAGAATATTCCTGCATGAGGCTAAAAATTGTGTTTGAAACTCGTCTGCACATATATGCAAACATACAATCAAATATAATAAAGACAGGGAAGAAAAGAATGTGTAATGCAAATAGACATTGTGTGTAATGGTTCCATTTCACATCCACAGAAACTGCTTTAAGACTGAAACACCAGGAGACAGCAAATTATGTGGATTTTCCTGTTCAAAATATGCACTTTTTCCATTCAAATAAGGTGAAAAATCGATAAAAAAAGTAAAAAAGCTGGAGCAAAGCTAATCATGCTTTGGAACTGCACATTCAAAGAACTTTGGCAAGTTTGAAAATCAGTGGTTCTTTGATCCCTGCCTATAACTCCCTAAAGACTAATGTGTACCATAATCATTGATTATGGTACACAGTTTTGTGGACAGACAAAAGTAGGCAGAAAATAGATTTCCAGATGCTTTGAATTTCCAGCATGCCTGACCGTTGGCCTTGTTGTCAGAGGTGTGTGGGAGTTCAAGTTGAAGTCCAAGGCATCTGGAGATCTATTGTTGGAGCTACACCCCTCTGGATTAGAGTCTACTTCATGAGATGCACAAAATATTGCCTTCAGTTGGCAGGAGTACAGGGAGCGAGGAGTAAACAGTGGGTTGCAACACTATGAAATGTTATAAATAGAGGGCAGGTGTTCTCTATTAGCCAATATTAGTCCTGAGAGTTTAATGGGAGCTGCATGCGCAAAGGTCATATCAGAAAATATCTGATATTGAGGACAAGCAACAAGCATGGGTTAGAAGTAGACATTTCTGCCTCATTTTCTAATGTGAACTTAGCAATCTTGCAGCTCCCAAACCAATGCATGAGCTTGCATCCAGGAACCAGTGCTTTTCTGGATCTGGCAGTACTGGCAGTACAGGTCATTGTTGGCCTGGGGAGAAGTGCAAAAATTCTGTATATTTGAGAAACATGTGCACAAAACTTCAGCAGATCAATGAAAAGTACATGCAGGAGATTCATACTTTAGGAAGATGCATGCCAAACATGCACATAGAGCAAATGTGTGCAAAGAAATTTATATAGAATTCAAACATACATAAAAAGATAAGATGGAGCAAACTAACTCCTGAAAATTCTACAAGAGTGTTAGATCCATTCATTTCTAGGAAAGAAGTCTATCATCACATTCTACTTATAAACCTTCAAGAAGCCCCTGGCTGGCTGCTCTTAAAAAAGAATGCTGGACCTTACAGATCATTGGCTGATTCAGCATGGCCATCCCTATGTTTGTATGTATGTATTTATTTATTTGAGATATTTCTAACCTGCCCAATCACTATGCATCTCTAGACAGCTTACAAACAAAATTCAATAAATACAATGGTATGAAAGAACATAAATACCCCAAACAATAAGACCAACAACCCACGACTGAAGTAAAACATAATTAAAATCTTTTAAACATTAAAATACTGGGTGAATAAAAAGGTCTTGACCTGGTGCCAAAAAGCATATAACGTCGGTGCCGGGTGGACCTCTCTAGGGAGCACATTCCATAACCTGGGTGCCACCACAGAGAAAGCCCTCCTCTGGGTATTCTGTCTCCTAATCTCCTTCAAGGAGGGTTCCCGGAACAGGGCCTCTGCTGCAGATCTCAAGGGGCAGGAGGGCATGTAGGGATAATACATAATTCAGTATGTATTATCCTGAAGCTCTTAACCTTTGCTGAGATACACAAGCAGGATTGGTGTATCCACATATATTACAGATTAGCACCTGTGTAGCAAGTTGAGGACCTGCCTATGCTAAGGCTGATGTCCTAACAAAAGCTTTGCCCAGTCACAGTCCCTCTTCCCTAGCTCCCATCAGAGCCAGCCAGCACAGCCAATGGGCAGGAATACTGGGAGTAGTTCCAAACATCTGGAAGGTAGCAAATTGGGGAAGGTTGCCCTAGAGTTTTGCCCTCTAAAGCTATAATCCAAGGTGCAGAAGTGACATGAATTTGAAGTTTGCATTCACCTAATCAACAGGACACCTAGTTTCGCCTTCTCCCTTAGGTGTCATTTTTAATGCCTCAAGCCCCAAGAGAGGTGGAGCAGATCCTGACCATGAACTCCCTAAGCAGCTGTCATACACCATTCGAATGAGTGTCCTGTACAGTATGAGAACAGACCTCATCCAGAACCCAGTGTGGAAATCTCACCCCCAAAACTTGCCAGCTGACGGGTTCAGGTATAACCACATCTTCATTCCCCTGCAAGACATGATAGAGGCATCATTTCGGTGCACACTGGAGTGAATGCTCTGGATGCAGGAATACAAGTTCAAGCTATGCCATATCCATGCCACACCAGCGATCTGTAAGTAGCTGGCTTCCCTTGGGCTGGGGCTGCTTTGGAGAGTCTGACAACCAGCACATATAAGTCTGCTTCTGTACCTGCTGCTTGCCCCTTTGTTTCTGGGCCCAATGTCTAGTGGGGATGGTCCCCTTTCAAGATGTAGGTGCATTGGGACACTGTCGTTTGAAGGAATTGGCCATGCCTGCCAGTAGGATTTATTAAGCTGGCAGACCAGAGTCAGGGCATGTCTGAGTTGATTCCATCCTTCTGGAATGCCTTACCCTGATCATGGATTTGCCTGCCCTGGATAGTTCGGTTTGCATTTGAATGAACGATTCCTTTATTATTTTGTAATACTTCTTGTTCCTGTTAACTTCAAATATTTAAGTCCGTTGTACTTTTTATTTTACTTTCTTAGATATCTTGAGGAGGCTTTGCCCTGAATAAAAGGAGGGGCCAAAATATTTCAAGCAGATAAATAAGGAGGTATTCATGACCTGCCTGTCTTCCCAAATTCTCCCATGAAGGGTAGCAACACACGTTTTCTCCAGAGCAGCATATGAGGACAATTACTCCTCACAGTTAAACTGGGGGCCACTCTCTCAGCATCATGGAGGTGCTGGCGAAAGACTAACAGCACCCTGCAAAGCTGCATGCAGTGTCTCATACCAAGACAACACAGTTGAGAGTCAACCAGCTGTACACCTACGTGGTGTTGACAACAGTTGCCTTCCACTGTTCCTTGTTCCTCTTTGCAGGACTGCCAAGAACAGCCTCTATGCCAAGCTGGCCCTTGAAAATGGTTCTCCAACCTTCACTGCCCAAGTTTGAAAACACAAAAATGGTAGTGGGGAAGAAATTTGTTCAGTTCTTATCTTAATGTGAACTTAACCTAATTTTGCCCTTTCAGGTAGATATGAGAGCTGAAATTCAGTTATTCTTTTGAATGTGTATGTCTCTTAATTTTGCAGCAGAGCTGTCAAACCAAAACGTGCATAAAAGAATGCATATATGAATGGAAGTAATGTTCAGGCTGCATTATTTTAGGAGGTCGTTTGCCAAAATTTGTCTCTTAGGAAAATTGTGTCTAAAAATGTGCGTACCAAGAAAATGTGCATAAAAATGGACCTGAACTTTCATCCAAAGGTTTAAAAAATTCTTAAAGATCAGGATGATCTAAACCTAATGTTGAAAAATTCTCAAAGTTTGGATGAATCAAGTCCTTCTAACTAGGGTTGGGATGAACCCTACCAGAATCCTTCCCTTCAAGCAATCACAGGCTTCATCTTGAGCTGGGCCTGGTCTTCCAAAGTGAGCCAGGCAGAGGAAGTCTGTGAAAGCAGGAGATCCCCAGGTGCCCAACTGGCAACCTCCTTCTGGGTCAGGCGATGCCACCCGAATGGCAGCAGCTCTTAGCACAGGAGAGGATTGCTGCTCACAGTTGTGAGGGGCTTCTTTCTTGGTGAGCCCCTTGCAGCCAGCCTTCTTCAGCAAAATGGCAGCTGTGCTTGGCTCAGAAGAGGGATGCTGCTTGTGCAGCACATGGGGCTTGATTCCTGGTGAGCGCCCCAAACACTGGGTGTGCTTGCCAGGAACTTGATCTCAGGGCCATGGAAAAGCAATCCAATGGTTTCCCAATCCCAGACAGATTCTGTACATGGCCCTATTTTCAACTACATTGAAAAAAAAAAGGAATAGGGAGAAACTGAAATTAATAGATTCTTCCATCCTAAAATGGAAGAACATTTGTTTGATTGCATTGTTCAATTTGTGTGTTTCCAAAGAGGCATCTGGTTGTCCACTGTGGGAAACAGGTTGTTGGACTAGTGGGATCTTTGGTATGATCTACTTGGGCTCTTCTTATGTTCTTCAAAGTATCACAGTCATATCTGGAGATACATAGATACATATACATTATGTATCTTAGACTATTATATTCTGCTTCTAAAATAAATCATTAGGACTTTAAAATGTACTTGTCCCTACAGATTCCTGAACAGTATCAGTTTCTTCTTGCCACTTATAATGATGCTAACGTGGATGGTGTCCGTGGCTAGCATGGTCCGAAAGCTTGTTTATGAGAAAGAAATTCATCTTCAGGAGGTAAAAATAACTGACCACCCTTCTCCTAAAGTGCTTACATGGGTTTAAGCTTAGTTGGATTGACCTCCTAGCTTGTAGCCCACCTGATTGGGGAAAAAATGACTTGACAAATTCACATTGTTAGGTCACATGACAAGTCATCATGGGTAATCAACCCCAGTGGATTGTTGTGTCATCCAAACCCAGACCACTTTCACAGGGTGGCTTGTGTTTTTTTCAGACAAGCTGCCCTGAGAACCCATGAGCTGGTTTAGGGGTTGTTTTCCCCATGATGGGTTATTGTGTCATCTGAACCTGGGCAACTGATCCCACCATGGATAAAGGAAAGTGGTGAGTGAGGCTTTTGGCAAGAGAAAGAAAAACCCCTCACTGCTGTCAGTGACCTTGCAGCCCCTCTGGGGTACCCTAGTGGTTATTGTTTTTATTACTATTTTGCTAGTTGAACTTCCACACACTTCCATTGGTCTCAGATAGGAAGCCTTGCCTGTGCAATGCTTCGGGGGAATAGTTGCTGTCAAGCTACAGCAGGTACTGATCCTGGATATTGACCCAGAGAGGGTTCAAATAGTTTATGGTTTTAAACTTAGCTCTGCCTCGAGAATGAACTATCAGTAGGTGAGCCCTTTACCTGTCAAGGTAAACTCTCAGGTGATCTATGCTTATGAAAGGAGGGAGACACCTTTTCTTCCTTCCTACCCTATTTTGCCTTGCTAAACTCCCTGTTTTCAAAGCAAAACTAAACAAAACCCCTTTGTATTTGCAACAGGAGTCATGAGAGTGAATGTCAGTGAAAAGGGAATGGGGGCATTTTCCTGATCACCTGGAATCTCAGGAGAAGTTGAGGGCACTGTGGCCTTTGAGGAAGAAGGGAACTCTAACTCTTTAAAGAAGTGTAACTCTTTCTTCAGTACCACAGTTGAAACAACCATTTCCTCACAGCCCTAGCTGCTGTTAGTCCCAGGAGGGAAACCTGTATTGACATTAATAGATGCTTCAATTGCAGGACTAATAATGGCTTCAGTTGAGGAGAGAATTTTCATCTAGACTGTGGTAGGGAAAGAAATGGCTTGATCTTCCCTTCCTGTATATGGTGCTTCTAGTGAAATTGGAGCCCCCAAAGTTTCCTTGTTACATCCTGAAGTTACTGAAGTGATATATTTAGCATTTGTGATGCTTTATTAGAAAGCAGTTAAAATGTACAAACTGCTATTTGCTGACAGTTTGGCAGTACCTGTAAATTGTCCCTCTTCTCTTCTCTTCTCTTCTCTTCTCTTCTCTTCTCTTCTCTTCTCTTCTCATTTCATTTCATTTCATTTCATTTCATTTCATTTCTCTTCCTCCTCCTCCTCATTTTGCCTTGACAGTATATGAAGACCATGGGGGTGCACCCAGGTGTTCATTTTGTAGCTTGGTTTCTGGAGAACCTTGTTGTACTTTCCATAAGCAGCTGCTCCCTGATGGTCATCTTGCAAGTGAGCAGCATTTTTGCCCATAGCAGCGGCTTCCTTGTCTTCCTCTTCTTTCTGGACTTTGGCATTTCGGTTAGCATGCTGAGCTACCTGCTCAGTGCATTTTTCAGCACTTCCAACACTGCTGCTCTCTGTGCTAGCTTGGTGTATCTGATTAGTTTTTTTGCCCTACACCATCTTGTTGATTTTTCAGAATCAGTTGTACTTCACCCAGCAAACTTTTCTGGTAAGTGTTCTTTAACTCATTTCATTTTGAAACTAAGGAAGCCAGTCTTGTTTAGAAAGCCAGTCTTTCATTAATCAGTTTTTCTGCATCTCTCTATTACTGTTATATCACATTTGACCCCCTCTGCTCACTAACAAGCTCTTATTTGATAAATAGTGCAGGTTTGAAGATTTTTAGTTCATACAATGCTTTAAAAGCACAAGACTCAAAAGCATGTTAGGACTACTAGCCACACTGTCAGATAACAGCTACATCTTGCATGTTATCAGTTTTGGCCAAGCTGGCTGTGGATGATGGGAGTTGTGATCTTACCAACATGTCCAGAGGTCACCATGTTGGAGAAGGCTTATCTGTCTTATCCATTTGTACTGACATTACAAATAAATAATACATGCATAACTGGATCCCATGCAGTATTTCTCCAAACAAGAGGCAGGATTTGATCCTGATTTCTAGAGACCCGGGCTGCTAATTGTCTTGCCCTTGAAGACCTTATATCATAATGGGTGTTGAACTGGGGCTTGCTTGCCTGCAGCTTAGAAACAGAAACAGAGTGAGTCAGAAGGTGCCTCCCAGGCCATCTAGCCTGGCGCATAGCTCCACCTGGCCCTGCTCATGACATGCCTGCCATGTGCATGTTCAGCCTATCCTTGAACACCCTCACCGATGGGGCTTCAACCACTGCCCATAGAAGCCCATTACATACCCTTGGGGTCCTAACTGTCAGGAAATAAAAATTGAACCTTGGTTCCCTGAACTTGGCTCTGTTGGAGCACATCCTTCCCACAGGGGAGAACAGGTCTCTACCCACATCTGTGTGGCACCCCCTTCCCCCCACATACCTGTATGTTGCCAACAGATCCCCTCTGAGTCTCCTCTTCTCCAGGCTGAAAAGACCCAGTTCCCTCAGTGTCGCCTCATATGGCTTCACCTGCAATCCAGCCACCATCCTTGTGGCCCTACACTGCACTGACTCAAGCCTGGCTGTATCCTTCCTGTAATGTGGATCCCAGAACTGAACATAATACTCCAGTGCAGCTGAACATGCATAGCCTTTCCTCCTCCTATGTACTCTCACACAGACACTGATGTACCCAGTAATGAATAAGCATGCAAAAATACACATACCACATGACAGACACGGCTGCTCTCCCTTTGCTTTCTTGGCACGGAGATGAGGAGGCCTATATTTGCAATCAGTTTGTCCCTCCTTCCCCAGCACAAGTCAGCTGGGCAGGGAGGAGAGGCTTGTGCTTTAAATGAAGAAGACTCTGCCCAGGGATTTCTTTCCCTTGGTGCTTTCCCCAGCAACCCCTGCAGATCACAAACTGCTTTGTGGGAAGCAATCAATCTGGAAAGTATTACCTGTCAGCCTCAAAAACACTACTTAAATTGACATTTTGCTTCTATTTATATGTGTGATTGGATTGCAATTCATCATCAATGCAAAAGCATGCATACTGAAATTATATAAAAGAGGTGAGACTCCTATTATGAGTAGGCTTCAGAATTATATCTATTGTATTGCAAAGGGGAAATTATTCTGAAGGTAGTAGAGAACTGGGAGTGAAGAAAAAAGTATTGACACCAGGAATGTTTCTTCTCCCAAACAGAAACTCAATTGGTAAGAAAAATGGCAACATACAACATTCTAAGGAGTGAATTTAGCAATGCCTAGATGAGGAAAGCTCCAGAAGAGCTCCTCTGGAAGGATTTGTGTCTTTCAAAAGCACACTCTTCTCATCAGTAAGACATGTTCCAGATGTCCCAAGTAAACAGAGAAACAACTGTCCACTCTTGAAGTAAATTCAATGGTTGAAAAATAATTTTGTCCTCTTTATGAATGTATACTTCCCATTTGGCAGGTGTCTTACATTTGATCAGAAGTCTTAAAAAAATCCATCCCTCCAGGTTAGTGGTCCCTTCAGCCACAATTCTCAAATTATTTGATCCCAGTTGGGTTCTAACACATTCTGTACTTATATAGTTTGCCCTCTTTTGATAAAGCACTGGTCCCTTTTCAATTTCCTTGTGAAATAATGAAAAGTTGCTTAGCACAGGCACACTTCACCTAGTTCAGAGTGTTTGTGCATCCCTTATGCCTTGTGAGAAAGAAAGTTACCTTACAGACTTTTGTAGTGCTGTGCATTATATAGCTATAAAGTGTGATAGATTTATATTCCCCTCAATAATGCTAACACTCTTTCAGGAATTGAGTGATCTACTCTAGTTCAGGCAGGAATATTTCTGTGAAAAAGAATATTTTTCCCACTGTCCAAAGAAGGCATTCATGATTGGGTCATATTAATGGGCAGTTTCACTGTTTGGTGGTTTTTTCCTCCATGGGAAGGGACAACTGTTCTTTGTTCTTAACATAGCATTAATAAGAACACCCATTTATTTTCTTTCCCTGCAGTGCTTTCTTTCAACAACTGCCTTTGGGCATGGTGTGATTTTCCTTACATTATTTGAAGGACAAGAAAAAGGTAAGATTGTTTGTTATAAAAGCACTCTCTGGGCATAGCTGAGTCTGTTTGGGATGCCTAATAGGTATGAGCATTATCTATTTATTAGTTCTATATATATGCCACTTTTAGGGAGTTCAGGGAACTTGGAACAGCTTGTAATTTGACTTTCAGGCTTTTTCCCCTTTATGCAGCCAGTGCTCAGGACTCATATTCTGCCTAGAGGATTGGGAAGGGAGAGAGTTACCACTATGAGACTGATTTTCTGTCATGTGCATTAGAGTAAAAACTGTGAACCATGGTAACTATGCAAGGATGCTTGTTGTGACATGTGGATCCAGCCAGAATTTCAATTTCCTTTTACTTCTGAAAATAAATGAGTGGGATTAACTGATATTTGAACTTCAAATGCATAACTTTGTCATAAACATACACACACACATACTTGTTTAACTTAATGGTCATGTTGAGATGATAAACCAGGATGTGCGTGATCTTCACTTACATTTTTGTTGCTACTCTTCTTTCAGTGGTCAAAGGAGTCATCTTTCCCTGCACAGGCACTTGGTGTGCTGCTATGCAGAGTTGCAAATGCAAATAGACCCTGTGCAATGTAGTCTTCTAAAGGGCTATTGTAATGTCAGTAAACGATGGTAAAACTATTCCAGGAGAGGGAGGAGGCAAGAAACTCCATGTGCTGCTCAGGCACTCGAGGCACCCCCAGGTAGAAACATGAGTGGGAGATCAGGAGCCTGGAGGATGACAGAGTAGGAGGGGGAAGGCAGGGAAATTCTTCTGTATCTTGAACAAATTGTGCAAGTACGATTTGAGGTCCATCATACTCATCTCCAATGTGGGGGGAGCATAATGAGTGTCAGGAAATGTGAGCCATGGTGACACCTGTATTCCTGTGTTCACACTTGAAGATGCCCCTGGACCCAGTTCCCTAATCCTTATCCATAGCTCAGAGTGGATGTGACTTATTATGCATCTTGAAGATGTAAATAACCAGGGCTTTCCAGAATCCCTTGGTGGGTTTGACAGGGGCTGTTATATCCAGGTGTCTCCCTAGCCCTTGTTGTATGGAAACCTTGAGGTTGGGGTGTATGATGTGATGGCCTGTGAGACTCTTGAGGCACCCACTTATGTACCAAGACATTCTTACCCCCCTTACATTTGTTAACATATGGAGAGCCCAAGTGAAAAACAAAGTCACCCGAAAAGCGATCTGGGGCTAGGTAGGATCTGAGTATCAGATGGAGCAAGCCCAAACAGCAGCTGGATGCTGGGAACACTGCAGCCAGTGGAAGGTAGTGACTTCAGGGGGCTTTCCCACCTGAGGGGCACAGAAAGGCTGGATGCTGATCACACAGGAAGGGCTGCATCCCATGAGATCCCCACCAGACTGCACTACATGCAAGTAGTTGGGGGGATTTTGTGAGTACCTAAATGTCAGTGGGGCTATGACACTCAATGGTGCCAGCAGCGGGCAATTTAGGCACACCTTATCTTCTCCGTATTGTTCGTGGCAGCATTAATGCTTGACATTGAGATGTCAGTGAGCAAACTGTTTTGTACAGATTTGGATTTACTTTTCTTGTTGCTAGGAATTCACTGGAGTAACTTATATCAGCCCTTGGCACAAGGAGGATCTATGACTTTTGGATGGGCATGTTGGATGATTCTTTTTGATTCCATCCTTTATTTTATGTTTGGATGGTATTTCAGCAATATAATTCCTGGTAAGACCAGTAAGTCAACATCCCTCCCTTTCCACTTCATCCTGCCATTCCTTTCCCGATATTTAATAGCATGTAGTTAGTTGGGTTTCTCTCCATTTTCCAATATTTTATTAAAGGTGGTGTTAGTGGGATAATTAAATCCATGATATACTGGGCAAGCACCATTTCTTCTGCTTATTCCACCTTAAGAGCTCTGCTGAGTTACTGTAAGTTATGTCACACTCAAAAGTGGCTTAGTGGAGAACTACAGGATGCAGCAGGGGTGTTGAACCTTTTCAGTTTGAGGGCCAGATTCCATTTCAGGGAGACTCTCAGGTGCTGCATAGCTAAGGGTGTGTGTGTGGGGGGGGGGAGTAGCACAAACCCCTGTGCACTGCCATTCGCTGAGCCTAAGAGAGGCATTTTGCCATTTTAGAATTATTTAAAAAACCAGGGAACCAGCAGGCAATAAATGGTCCTGCCAAAGGCATGGGGCCAAAGGAATGTGGTGTGTCCCTTTGGGGAACACTGGGAAGCCAGATAGGATCCCAGGGGGTTGGATATGGCAAGCAGGCCTGAGGTTTCGCATCCCTGAAATATTATTTTATCTATTGTATTTGCATGCCACCCCATAGCCAAAGGCTCTTTATGCAAGAGTTTGCTGTTCAGTTGGTCTCCTTTTCTCCAGACACCTTTGATCATTTTGAAGTGGGAGAAAAATATTGTTGAAGCTTTCTTGGACTTCAGCCCACTTCATCAGATAAATATGTATTATAAAAAGCAAAAATAGCCATGTTGGACCATGGGCAGTGCCTTTACTGACCAAAATTCTACAAAATGTGCAAGTGTTTGAATTCAAGCCAGATAGTAGAAAAAGCAGGATTGTTATATTAAGTGACAAGTATATGTCCACACATAATTGGGATGGAGTTCTAAACCATGAAATCAGAACCATGAAATGCAGGAAGTATCCACAATAATTACATTATTAAGACTGGCCACTCACAAAACAGTTGGTTGGAATGCCATAGCATCCCAGAATCCACAAATGAATGAGCACAGGTGTGTCTGCTGAGTGGTTGTGGTTTGCAACTCTCATCATACTTCACCATTGGCTATGCTGGCCAGAGCTGATAGGAGCTGCAGACCAATGATGCCTGTAGGACCACAAATTCTCCACTCCTGAATTAACACATGCAGAGTGATAAGAAATCTTTATCCTGGTTTAATCCACAGATGATAACATTCAGCTTCTTAGCTGTATATAGTTATACATGTATTTTTCTTAAAATTTAAATGCAAATATCTAATTTCATTATTATAGTTCATTTCTAGGAAGGTTTGGATTAAGACAACCATGGTACTTCCCGTTTTCACTCTTACTGGAAGGATGTGTGTGTTATTAGAAGCAAAAAATGATCCTACCTCAATCCTACTATGTATTTCTTCAATGAAAACTTCCAGGGTGTGTAGAGTAAATCAGTCTTGGAATTTTGTTCTCTATCCCTGTATGCCTTACTGCTCAAATGGTCCTTCCTCTCTGTGGCTACTTCTGTGGCTATAACTTAACCTTCACAATATTATGTGCTATGGATTTGGATGAAGTCTGAAACTCAAAGCCTGGATCAAGTCAGACGACTTATGATGGTTTTCATTCTGAAACAACTTTGTCAGCAACTGTTGTCTCAGAGGCACACAGACTCGGTCACTGCTTAGACATGGCCCTGGCCATCAATGCAACCACTTCCAAATACTAGTGACCAAAATAGAGCTCCTTGGTATTCTGAGGAGATGAAGATTGTGAAATTCCTGGGTCAACAATTGAGGTGCAAGTAGTGGAAAACCTCAAATGTAATTGTGCACAAGTGAAAGCTCATTCTTGGACTGATTTCATGGCAATTATGGTAGGAAAGAACTCTTACTTTTCTGCATGCATTTCCTCTGCACACCAGTCATTTTGACTGGTGGGGGAACTCCTTAAAGGAGGTCTTGGAACCCAGAATGGAGGACCCACAAGGACTCCCTGTCAGCAATTCCTGTTGCATTTTGCAGATAAAATTACCTTGGGTTCCTTGCAAGAGGAATTAAGGCAGAAAAAAATCTCATGGTATAGTAATAAAATACTGGCTATTTGGATCCATTCCAATCCAGGTTCTGACATGCTGGGGAACAGACAGGATAGTTCTCCTGGACCTCTCAGTGCTTTTGGTATTGACCATGGTTAATGTAGCCTGGATGGTTTGAGTTTAGTAGGAGTGGTGTGGCTGGATGCGCTCAGATATTGGTGTTTGGGAACTTTTGCTTTACTCCATGGCCTTTGACCTGTAAGCTAGCACAAAGCTCCATCTTGTCCTGCGTGCTGTTTCATCACCACATCTGCTGAGGGAGATTATCTGGAGGTTTGGATGGCAATGCTGCCAGTATGGGATGGCGTGCAGCATGGATTCTAGATGAACAACAACAACAACAAATACATAAATCTGATCTGGATTTCATGAAAATGAAAGAAAACTAGGACTGTTTCGCCTGGACAGTTAGCAACTCTGCTTGCATTTCATGTCCCCCCTTTGTAATGATTATGAGGTGACATTTCTTCCTCCTCCTTGTTGAATGCTTATCTATCCTCATTGTTTTTCTGGCACTCGCTTTCAACAACATGACTTTCAGTATTTTTTCCTCCTGGGCTGCCACTTCCTATACCCCTTTTCACCCCTTTTCACTCCTTTTCCTCCTTTTGGGGGTGGGTGGGAGAGTTCTGTGCCTGGATTTGACTGCTTACTTGCTTTCTCCTTGCTTATCTGCTTAGAATTCGATCCCCCTTTGCCAGCCTTAAACAGCTTCCTCATATATCTTTTCATTAAATTTCTGTGGACAAAAGAACACATGCTGCCCACCTCTACTCTTGTGTGATGTGAGTCCCTTGTAATAAGTTGAAACTCAATTTCCCCTAAAATAGAGCATTCATTTATAGAAGAGGTCAGGGGTGCAAACCATCCATCCAGCAGCCCTTTATGCTGTTATTGCTCTACCTGTGCAAAGCAAAGTTCAAAAGCCTCTGGAGATCTACCACCTGCATGCAAAAAGCCGAGAGTTACGTGACACCTTTGCTGATGGTTTCAAACTCTGATTCCCAAGAATCTCACTTCTTGAAACAATTTGTTCATCCTTTTCCTTTGACATTGATTTATTGGCTGGGTTATAACTCTGCTAAACTCTAAAGTTTGCCACACTGCCACAGATGGCTTTGGGCAGAGAATAAAATGCATAAAAATGTTATAAATAAAACTATTAAACTCTTTCTTTGGCAGGAATGAATGTCCTTGACCATTTCAGTGACAATCAGATCAGAAGTCCCCTTTTTACAGTGTTTTTGTACCACACTATTAAAAAACCTAGCACAATTTCTATTGGCAATTAGTAGGATTTTTCCATGTGGTCTTTTATATGTCTAATCAGAAGTAAGCCCCATTGAAATTAGTGGAATCTACTTCCATTTAAATATGCATCAGATTACTTGTAGCAGTAATTATTTGCAAGGCAGTTAGAATAGGAAGGAGGATAAAGGGAAACAGAAAGACAGGCTCCTCTAAAATACTCCAAAACAAAAGGAGGGAAGAAAAATGATTTCTTAAAATGCCCCTAACTGGTCTCCTAGAACTAACCTGGTGACAAGGTTGTCTCCTTAAATGTAGGAAGGCAGGTCTATGAGGAGGACTCATTCTGGCCTCCACCAGTCTCTTTGCCTCACTGTCAGGCAGAAGAAGAATGTGGGTGAACGATGAGGTGAAAGAATGGGGTGGGGAGGGAGTGGTTAGGCAATTTTAAATCCAGGGCTTAATGGTCTTACAGACAGGGTGCCATGTTAAATTATCTTAGTTGTGAAGCCCCACAGCTAAGATTTCTCTTCCTCATCCCCTTCTCACTTGCTGTTTCACAACTGCTTTAACATTCTGGATTTCAAGAACTGTGGAGCGCTCTGACTTGCTCTATAATTTTAGGCTAGTGGAAAATAGCCCCTTCCAGGGCAGGTTTCTTGAGCAGGTGGTGACCAATCAGTTCCAGGCACTTTCAGATGAGACTGATTATCTGGATTGATTTCAGTCAGGATTCAGGCCAGATTTTGACACAATCAGTTCCAGGCACTTTCAGATGAGACTGATTATCTGGATTGATTTCAGTCAGGATTCAGGCCAGATTTTGACACAGAAACAGCTTTCCGTGTATGGTGACCCCTGTCAAGAGAGGGGTGGGGGTGTGTGATCCTGTTGGTTACTCCTGGATTTTTCAGTGGCTTTCAATAGCATCAAAGATGGTATTCTTCTGGGGTGGCTTGCTGAACTGGGCATGGGGGTATTCCATTGCCATGGTTCTGCCTACTTGGATGGCCAGCTCCAGAGGGTGGTGGTTGGTGGATACTGCTTGGCCCCTTTGCCTCCCTAGCATGGGGTTCTTCAGGTGTCAATCTTGTCTCCCGTGTTATTCATTATCCATAGGAAACTACTGAGAAGGGTCAGCCGGAGCTTTGGAGAGCTTTGCCATCAGTATGCTGATGGCATGCAGCTCTATTTCCTCCTTTCATCTTCAGCAGGTGAGGCTGCAGAAGTGCTAAATCAGTGCTTGGCTGCAGTAATGGACTGGATAAGGACAAACAACTGACACTGAGCCCAGACAAGACTGAGATGCTGTTGTGGGTGGTGCCTCCAACTGAATGAAGGGTGCTCAACTCATTCTGGATGGGGTTACACTCCCTTTGTAGGAGCAGATTCATAGTCTGGGGGTGTCCCTTGGTCACTTGAAATCCAGATGACCCAAGTGACATGGAATACCTCTTACCAGATTCAGCTGGTGACCCATCTAAGTCCCAATCTCAACAGGGATAGCCTGGTTTCAGTAATCTGTGCTCTGGTAATCTCTAAATTAGATTACTACAATGCATTCTCTATGGGGTTGTTCTTGAAGACTGTTCAGAAGTCCATGCAAAATGTGGCAGCCAGATTAATAACTGGGGCAGAAGGTCCAAACACATAACACAAGTTCTGGCCTGCTCACATTGGCTGCCTATGTTTCTGAGCCCAATTCAAAGTGCTGGTTTTAACCTGTAAAGCCCTATATGGCTTGGGTCTGTGATACTTGGCAGAACAGCTCTCACAACCACAATCTACTCAGGCACTTCTATCAAGATCTGGGGCCTACCTCCAGTTGCTACCTCTGAGGCTGATGATCTTGGTTGATGACAACAAGGAGAAGAGCCTGCTCAGTGGTAGCTCCCCACCCCTTTCTCCAAACAAGCTTTCCACTGATGCTTGCCTGGCCCCAGTTTTCTTTGTGTGTGCATGTGCACCAGGTTAAGACTGTCCTCTGTGTCCGGACATTTAGTCTCAATATTATATTGGAGCCTTACATCAGAGATCTTTTGATTTAATTTGTGTTAACTATTGTGGCTTTTAAAATTTGGCTTTTAAATTTTTGATTGTAATTTTTATAATGCATTTGTCATCTGTATTTTATATCGTATTTTCACTGCATTTTATGTGGTGTTGTAAATGTTCTAGAGAGCTTTGACTATTGGGTGGCATGGAAATAAAATTGATAATAAGAAGTGATGATGATGACAACGACGATGTGGGCCAGAGAACTTTGAAAAGTCCCACCGAGATTCTTGGGACAATTCTTGTAACAATTGAACCACTCTGTTCCCTGCAGCCAGTGGCACCTGGTGCCCACTGGGCCGCTGGGGCAAGCTGTCAGCATTCTTCCCATCTTCCTGCCTGGCAAAGATCTTAAGTACACCTGACAAGGCACAGTAGTTAACTGAACCAAATAATACTGTCTTACTGTGGTTTGGAAGGATGGATGCTGACATACTTTTGTTTGTTTGTTTTACTTTTGTTTTGTTTGTTTGTTTGTTTTGAGATGAGGGAAAATGGTGCTTGGTCTCTTCTACCCCTGCAGTTACCCTGATCCCCCAGTAACTCATTTTGCTCTTTGAACAAGAAGTATGGCCCCAGCAAAACCCAGTCTTGAAAAAACACTATGAAAAAGATCAAAATGGCAGAAAAAGGATACATTTCAATTATCCATTCCTATTTGACAGTCATGAATGGGCCTACGGTCTGCAGTTCGCATGTATTATTGTTTCTAATCCTCACTTTGCAATATCATGGTTCTTAATCTTCATTTTATATAGTGGTGTACAGATTACACATTCATCATAGGACACTTATTTCTCATTTCAACACTTATTTCTGTTCAAATTCTTATATTGTCACTGTTCCAGGTTCCCTTTCAAAGGAGCAGAAAAGGTACAGCGAGGAAGAAAACCCGGAGGGTGTTTTGTTGATGTCTCTTGCTAAAGAATACAGTGAGAATAACAAGATTGCTGTTAAAGATTTCAGTTTGGCTTTCTACAAAGATCAGATCACAGCTCTCTTGGGCCCAAATGGCGCTGGAAAGACAACAGTCATGTATGTTTGTTCACTGCTTTGCAAAAGGGTACTTGGGTCACAGTTCCTGGGTATGATTTCTGTGTCAGCAAACAAAGCTCACCAACTCTTTATTTAATTCATTGGTATCGCATACTCTAACTAGGAACCCAAGTGGCTTACATGGTCCTGCTATTCTCACATGTATCTTCACAACAACCCTGTGAGGTAGGTTTGGTTGAAAGGTCAGGCAAACTTGGAGAAGGATCTGTCTTAGTGACACACCTTTTCCAGATACCTCTGCAGGAGATTTTTGGAAATACTGATCCCTGAAGAAGGCCCATAAATCTGACACAGAGCTGAAATGGTGCACAATGCAGAACAGAACTTCCATCCACAAATCTTAAAGACCAACTCAGCTTTTGGGATGAATTGAACTTAAGATGGAAGAAAATGAGAGAAAGTGAGAAACTGAGTGGGAAGAAAATGAGAAACTCGAGATGGAAGAAAATGTCCATCCTTGGCCTCAGTGAACTCAAATCAACTTACTTCTGGGTATGCATTCAGAGGAAGTTATTTTAGAGCTATTGTTTTTCTTTGGGTCATTTAATACTAGCTGGTGCCACCACCCTCATGGATCCCAAGTGTGTGTGGCAGGGGGAATGGGGGCTGCTATTTTATGTGAACTGGTCCCTGGTTGGTGTGAGCTGCTTTCATGTCCAGCCATCACTTAGTATTTTCATTTATTATCATCACAATCTGGATGCATTTGATAGTTATTACATCTTAGCAAAAGCCATCTCTTAAAAATAAAAACAACCATGTTCAGCAATTACAAAAACTAGGCGGTGAACTGAGAAGTGCTAAACCTTTATTTACTTACCATTGCATGAATCAAGCCATGTTTACTTATTACATTTACACTTCTTCACTGCCCATCAGCTCACAGTCACCCTGGCTAGCTTGCAAAATCAGAAATAACATAATTAATATAAGACACATATAAAAGATACATATAATAACATAACAATCCAATAAATACTATGAAGCAATAAAACATAGAAACAGAACGAGTCAGAAGGGGTCTCCCGGGCCATCTAGTGTGACCTCCGGCACCAGCCAGCTCCACTCACGACATGCCCACCATGTGGACGTCCAGCCTATCCTTGAACACCCACACCGATGGGGCCTCAACCACCTCCTGTGGAAGCCCATTCCATACCCTTGGGGTCCTAACTGTCAGGAAGTACATAATACATAAATCATAATAAAACATAATACAAAATCCTACCACCACCTTTGCAGCTAATTCAGAATTACAGTAAAATATGGTAAAAGTGAGGATAAAAATCTGTTAAACTATCAGAAGCAACTTGACTAGTAGAAGTTTTGGGAAAGATAGATTATCATTAATGAATATGCAAAGACAGCCTCTTTTTTTTGGAAACCTCATTTTTTAGTTTCCTTGTGCAAGCTATGTTGAATGAGTAACTTAGTTTTCAGGCACACAGATTTTGCACCTCAGGGATATGATGATGAGAACAGTGAGCAGCTATGGAAAAAATGAAAAACCCCCTCAGACACATTTTTAAGGTAGTTTCATTAAAAAGTTAATAACTTTTCTGATTTTTGTGTTCTGAAATATTAAAACAGTCTTTTCTCTTCCACCCTTCTTTCTGTTTCTCCTGAGGTGCATAAATTACTAATAAGAATGAGCTGGTTACTAAATGTATTCTCCTTGATTATCAGTACTTTGGGCTACAAGAATTTAGCAGCCCTATGGAACTGGCACCACTGATCTAACCCTAAAGTATGAAGGTACTCTAAATAGAAGAAACACTAGCTGGGCAGCAAAGTTCATTCATTCATTCATTTTGGTGGAAGACTTTTCTTGGACCTGGCAAACTGGGTCTTGTCTTGAGATAGCAAAGTGTACTAGAAAAGTATTCATAACTGCATTAAGAAAAAAGATCATATAGGTCAGCATTCTCAGACTTCTAGTCTCTGTTCCCTGAACTTGATCCTACCTTCAGGGCCCCCAAAACTCCTATGCTGACTGTTTCATGACTACATGCATGAAATCCTTGTATCTAGTCATGCACTGCCTGCTGCTAGATTCAAAGAAAGAAGACTTTTCCTGCTGCAAGATTGTTGCTTTCCTTGCAAATACATCTTCATTCCAAATGTCTCATGCCAACGCCTTTTTGCCTTTTCATAGGAAAGGGTAACAGTGACTAAACTCTGGCTAGTAGGGGGAAGGCTAGCATATGTTTACTAAGGACAACCCTCCCACACACACACTTTGTATTCCCCCCAAAAAGGGGGGGCTCACCTCACAGTTTGAAAACCTAGGGAGGCAACATTTTCACCATAATGCTAATTACCATGGACAGATTCCAAAGAGCAACATGAGGCATGCCACAAAGCTTGGCATATCTCTGGGCACTTTTAGATTAATACATCATACATCAGTTTGAGATCACAAACTGCTTTTGAAATTCCCCATAGTTTCAAATGTGGGATGGTGGGGGCGGGGGTGTAAGCTTCTTGGGCATGTAGAACTATTTATGTACTTCTTTGAATCCCAACTGCTGTGCTTAGTTTTTTTCCACTTCTACCATGGAGAAACTATGTAGTATAAGGATTTAGTGAGGATTCACACAACCATTTTTATCTTACTGCAGTGAGATTGCTTCTGTCCCACAGGTCACATTTGGCCTGGTTAGAGTTCCACATCAGTCCTGGGCTTCCCTAGATGGCCATGTTCCTTCTCTTTTCATCTGAGCACTGATGATTTGGTGGTTTCTCTGCTTTCAACTCCTGCAATTTCTAAAAGACTGAACTGCTTACTAACAGTTAAGAAATGCTTTAAGATACGATATGCAGGCATTGTTGACTTGGTCCCTTTTGCCTTTAGCCTCTCCTACCACTGGCATGCAGCCCCTGAGAGCTTCTCTGGAATTTGATTTGGCTCCTGGACTGAAACAGATTTGATGCCCCCACATTAGGGACTTGCACACATTCCTGTTCTGTGGCTGGTTCAGTTTGCATTCTGGTCACAGGCCTGCATGAGTTCAACAAATTTCCAAATTCAAATCTGCATTATTGATTTGTGCAATCTAAACATACATTGAATGCATCATGAGGTCACTGCAAAAAGCCGGTTTGCAGAAGAGAAACTCATAAATCTATCCTGCTTCTAATAACAAGCAAATCAGTCACCGTTATGGTGATATAGCAATCAGCCATTATACACCAAATCATTAACATTAACAGCCAGAAGTGAATAGCAAGCAACAACCAGTGCTGCTCCAAGGAAGGAAGGAAGAGAGGGGGTGGGGAATCCAGAACTTGGTGCCATAAGGAGCAATAGAGGTTTATAAGTGGACGATGTAAAAAGATGTAGCGTGGAACACTCTTATTATTTGGGTAGCATCAAATGATAATCTTACTTAGAATAGAC